TTTTGGAAAAAATAATACATTTTTGGGGGAAACAAAAGTTTTTTGTTAAAAAAAATTTACATTTAAGTTTTTTTTTTTTTTATTTCGAAAAAATTTTCAAAAAAAATTTTTATGGGTTTTTTTTTTTTTTTGTCCCCCTTTTTTTTTTATTTCGCGGGTCACCCTTTTTTTTCCCCCCCCCCCTTCCCCCCCCCCCCCCCCCTCCGACCTTGGTCAAAATTTTGACAGGTAAATTCATGCGTGAAAGCTTATGTAGCATTTAGGGTATTGTTTGCCGACTGGACAGACTACTTGCCGACAACTGAAGCCTTCTTTGCATTTCAGTTAAATTTTATAATTATCGTGTTCTTGTACTGCCGCCACAAAATGAAATACAACTGCTGTCTTCTTTTTTCGGATTTTTAAAACTGAATTGTTTATTTGGTTTTTCGTCGAGGAAAGCGTCGCATCGCAAAGGGATTCATCGATGGTTGCGGTTGTGACAGTTCATGCAGACTCTTACGGCGGACAACAGGTAAAATCTTTCAGTTATAAAGATTTCAAAGTTTTAACTATCCTTGTTCTTCCACTGCCACCACCAAATGAAATACAGCTGGTTTGAGGTGGGCTTCGCCACGGGATTCAAGTCGAACATAAAGGCTTTTACAGTAGAGTATAGGAAAAGTTTTGGGCCTCACTTACTCGCTTACTCAGGAGCTGCATCCAAGGTGAGCCTGAGTAATTATTACAGTTTTGTCTCGTTTGATTTGTTTTGTTTTTAAGTTAGGCGTAATTATTCATGCCATGACATGTAACGAAGAATTGATGTCAATAGAGGAGTTCACGCTTACAGTTGCATCATGGGTAATCTGGGCTAGATGGCGGGAAATTAGAAGATTTGTATTAGAATTCAAAGCCAGCTAATTCTACCAGAATTCATGCATTTGATGCTTTTTCTTTAAAAAGACTAACTTACGAGTTCAAAGTAACAATACATTAAATCTGAAGTGCCAAGAAGTCCGCGATCAGTGTTTAGAAAACCTCAATTTTTCCATACATTTTCTGTAATTCTAGTACTATCACAGAAAATGTATGGGAAAACCGAGGTTTTCTTAAAACTGATCACGGACTTCTTTGCACGCCAGATTTAGTGTATTGTTTCTTTGAAATCGTAAGTTACTCTTTTCAAAGAGAAAGCATCAAATGTATGAATTTCTATGGGGTTCAGGGGTAAGAATTCTTTGCAAGACTATTACTGTGATCGAATTTGATTTACAATTTTTTCTTTTTGTTTTAAACTCAGTTAACTTCATGCTTTTAATTCATTAAAAGCATATCGATAGACGCGTCTCTTTTAGCCTTGGCTAAATCTATTTAGTATATACTAAAACAGTGGATAGTGTTTTTCACGCGCTCTGATTGGCTACTCAATCAGTGAATATCCTGCACTATTCACTGATTCACCTCCAGTTCCTCCGAGCGAGCGACGCCAAACTCGCGTAAGTTGCGAGCAAATTGCCTTCCCGGTTTGCTGCCGTAACAAACTAAGAAATTTCACAACCAATCAAGCAAGCTATTCCCGAAATACATGAAGAAGGTGACGAAGTTCGGTTTGGAAGTTTTAACAGGTAAAGCCTTGTCTTTTTTACTTGAATTTATCGATAAAACCGGTGAAAAAGTTTTTTGTTTACAAATGCAAATTACGCTTAAGTCTTGCGTTACTTTATTTAGTTGACTTGTTCATAAATAAGCTTAAAACTAAATTTAATAATCTTTTTTACAGAATTATTTTAAATACAAACAGAATTCACAACTCCTTTTGAAGAAAATTTCCCGCAAGAGCCAAACAAACTCCTTCAAAAGTCCTATTTGTCGCCAAGAAAAATCGACGACCGCGGCCGTTCGGTCATCGCGCGCCAAAATTGTGATCGTTGTCAACAGTAAATGAATAAAAAATTAACATTTTTGTGCTCAATTATCTCACTGTTTTAGTATATACTAAAACAATTATTCACCTCAGTGTCGGTGGTTAGTAGTGGATATTTATCTCGCCGCCTTGCGGGGTCGGTAAATGCCACTACTAGCCACCTCCACGTCGGTGAATAATTGTTATATATTACCATTATTAATAAAACAAAGATGAACTTTGCACTTGAGAGATACTGTCATTTGCCACACGGTTAGCTTACTGCACCATGAAATGGGTGTAGCAAGTGCTGCTGATAAAGTTCAATATGCAGCTTTTCTAGATTCCGACAAGTTAAAGGTATACATGTATATCAGAGGGTTCAATGTGAATCAATCCAATTTTCCCCTTTGAAAGTCGCCAAAAGGAATTCGCGTCTTAAAACCAACGTAGTCAGCGAATACTAACATCGTAAGGCAGAGTAAAGAGTAAAAGGTCAAGCATTAAATTCAGGTTTCGAGGCATTCATCGAAAACTGAAAAGAATAATTCTCTGGATTCCGCACGAGTCAGCTTAAGCACGAGTAAACCATAATTAATCATATTACCTCAACCAGGAAACTATATTCACTTACAAGATTCTTACTAAAGGGGGTGCAATTAGAATACCGGTTGGTATCGAGACGTGGAGTGTTAATTAACGTTTTCCTTTCTTTTACTTCTATTTTAATAATTTTTTTCACCACGCTAATCGATCTGATAAATCCCAAATCGGGTGAGCTGAAAAGTGTTTTAAAGTTTCAATTTAATGATTTTTGACACTCTCGTAAGTCTCACGTAGCTGAAACGTGTGCCCCGTATTTTCAAACAAAACTGTAACAAAGCAAAACATCCCCCGATGGTGTGGCGATGAGCCTTAAAATCCTAAAAAAAAGAACCTTAATCAGCTTCATCAAGTTTAACAAGCAGTCCGTAAAGAATAATGGATCCACGTTCCTTTGTAAACCATTCAATCTCCTGGTTGCTAAACTTAGGGTCAATCTCAGAGGTAGCAGCAATTGTCTGTGGTCCAACCTGATAGCTATCTGGGTTGATATACAGTTGAAGAACAACCTTGGCATTTAAGGCCTTCTTCGTCACAGGGTCCAGAAAACTAAACAGCTAAAAAAAAGAAAAAAGATTAAAAATTAGCAATTTCAAGGCAATAAAATTAAGCACCTGAATGTCCTTCTAAAACAACTATCTGCGGTGTTCAATTAGGATGACGTCATGGCAATAATTTGAATCTTCCCTATAATCAAGATTCCGGGTTTCAATTGGTTTCAATAGAATGTTGTAAATTGGTACGTAAAAGACTGCTACTAATAATAAATGATTGTAAAGATATTTAGTCTGATACTGGAATTCAGGAAATTCAAGTCATCTACCCTTGTGTTATTGAAAGAGGCTGAGTATGATGAACCGATCGAGGAGAATGCTATCGTCCTAAGTGGCTAACAGCCTCCAAGATCAGCATAATTCTTCATTGCACGAATGCCGAATTGAAAAATTGTATTATTCTTCATTCAAAATATTCCTCAACTCTAACAGGCCTACCTCCTCGTGGTATTTCTGCAAAACTTTGGCCTATTATATTTCTCGGCAAGTTTTCAGAATATAAACATATGATTTTTTCTTGCAGATACTCCTCAAATAGAAAATAGCGTCAATCAAGCAATATGTTTTGCGAATTCTTGCACTTCGTCCATTCAGTTTTAGTCAGAAATTAAGCTATTTCGTCTTCACATAGACATTAACACCAGTTTTTAGTTCATTATTGCCCAAACAGCCTCGTGGTCATGAAATATACCTTCCATCAACCTCGTTTCTACGCAGATATACCATACAATCGTTGGTATATTGCTCGTATCTTTAAAAATTAGTCAATTAGCCTCCTCTCGATAACCAATAGGGTACATGTGACTATATAAATATTGTATGCAGAACAAGAGCACGTAAAATAACAACTGCAAACGAAGATATAAACAAGGACCTGACGCAAAACAAGTACAAAAAGTCAAAAAAGGTTCACCGTTTGGGTTTCGCGTAGGTGTTACGTCCTGAGTAGCGTATACTCGGTGAGACGAAGATTTGCTTTGTATCAAATCCTGAAGGTTTTCTCTTGTCATTGAAATGTCCTTCCTCCTCGTTAAGCTTTCTTCCTCCAAGCGCTACATCTCCTACGTAAAAATCGACCGGGGTTAGCGCGAAGACACAAAATCCATTGCAATGATGGCTTTTTTTAAAAAATTACAATACTAGCTTAAGAGAAAGCTCTTTATTTCAGGATCGCGAGATGTACACGCCATGGGTATTGGCGGCTTGAACACAGATGAATTAAGACTCTGGCGATTTCTAAGCTGGTTTGCAGGCTATGACAATACAAAATGGCTAAGAGTTTAGAGTTATCTCATCTTGCTCAGGATACAATAAAAACGAAGACGCAAAAGAGGCCTCGAATTTCCTTGCTGTAGTCTAGTGTTACGCTCACCAAAATTATATCTTTGATAAACAAACCACAGCACATACATGTATATGTTGCATTTAATTTTTTATTATTATTATTTCAGTTAATTTTTATTTTTCCTTTGTTTCAAATTTACTAGCAACACTACCATAGCCAAAAACAATGGAAAAATAAAAATCCACTGAGATAACTACAACATATGCATTGAAGCACGTACATAAACAGTGATGATTAGCCATGGGGGCTTTGCATTTGGGCACCCAAAGACACACCTGGTATAAGAAGATCACCGCATTCCAAAATTGCCTTGACACTATCAACTCTTGTGCCATGGAATGCTGCGTGCCAGTTATTGAACACATTGTGGTGGACCCTAAAAACAACAATTATGTACGGAAAAGGTAATTGATTTTGTCTATGCTACACTTTTGCCTTAGAAGTATCCCTTCATCTAGGCAGCAATTATAAGCTAATAAAGGCTTGCTTTCATAACTGAATGAACACCGTTATTTCTGAAAGTTGTGCGGTATCCAGGTGGCATATCCGTATTACTCGAATAAACCATACTGGTAAAATCCAACTAGTGGTCTATTGTCAATGCTGCGTTCTGATTGGTTGAGCTACTACTAGGCTATACGTTATAGCCCACTAATAGCGAAAAGCGCCCGCTTTGAAAACCAAAACAATGGCGGCTGAATCGCGTTTTTCTAGCTACAGTTGTTTTGTCTCGATATTTATGACCAACCAGTTGGATTTTACTAAAGCAATTATTCCTCTCGCCCTCATGGCCTCTGAGTCAATAGCCCATTCGGCCTTCGGCTTCATGGGCTATTGACTCAGAGGCCATGAGGGCGAGAGGAATAATTGTTAAATAACCTCCTAAAGTCCGAGAACGATGAAGCGAAAGCTCTCAGTCTAGGCTTCGTGAAGAACGCTATAATATAACCAGTCAAATAAATAAAGTTTCCTTCACGAAAATATCTACTCAGCTTTATGATGTTACATAAAATGTTCCAGCTTACAAAAAGCGTTTTTGTCTTACTTAAGTCCAAATCGACACCATCCTACGGGAAGACCATAGGTCTTTGGCGGTTTTCCTCGACTGTAATAAAGACTGTCGCCTCGGGCGTCGTGACATTTCATACAGTAACATCTATCGTAGTTTTGGTCAAAGAAAACATCTGGGAAAATTTGAAACAAATATTAATCAATACCTAAACCATTACTAGATACCTCTCATTTCGCCTTGAATTGCAACACGTTTGTTTTTACTCTTTATCTTGGTACTTTTAAAAATACATGACGCGTAAATTAAATATTAATAGCATTCATCTCAATAATTGCTTTGAGCAAGTAATTGCATCACATTGTTAGCCTAGAAATATAATATGGAGTGTCCAGCAATTTCCTTAAGCTGTTAAGTCGAGTCGTACCTGACAGTTCAAGTGATAACTTAAACCTGCGACATCTTTCCTGGTAGTCACACCCTGATCGCCTCTGTATCTTACTGACACCTACAAAATATAAGGACCATTCTCACGACCTCTACACGTCTCCGACAAACATGCAGTCAAAATAATTGCAAACAAGTTTATGGTATACCATATCTAGTGGACTCTTTACCGTATAGGGGGTAGGCAAAAATCTTGTAAGGGTGTCACATATGTTCATACATGGTGCTAGTCCCTGGGATGCAGTATAAAAAAAATGTGATTTTTTCTGACAATTTTGCTGTCAAGCACTGTCAAAAATGTGTAAAATAAGAGGTTACCTTGTGTCGTTTGGGGCCTCTTTTGCTCTAACCCGAGCCGTTTCGCTGCTTCTTGAATCCCAGGTTTGCCATAATTTGCGCGCAGGTGCGATATGATCTGTCCTTTGCCTCTGGAGCTCTTACTTGAAATGACCAGAAGTGATTTGAAAGCTTTCTCTTTTTCAGTGACTTTTCCTTTAGCGATGAATGAAAAAAGCAATGGAACAACATCTCTATCAAGCATAGTCTCCACGTTTCTATTATTAAAAAGGAAGGTATCCAAAACTAATTTGATTTCTTGAGCTGACAATGCTGTCCCTATCGACTTGCTTCGTAGGTCTGGTTGATCCAGTGCATTGCGAAACATCCCAAGGAAATAACTTAACACCTGGTGTCAAAAAAGGAAGCGATAATTATAAGCTATTGCAGCAAGGTTGGGAATTTGGTTTTAAGGAACAATACGACATAGAATGGAAATACAGTCAAGGGATTGTCTTCACCAAGTTTCTCTACACTGTTTTCCCGTATCTTTAATTATACCCATACATATAAGACGACAATCGGTACTCTCAACCACAAGTTGCTCCAATTTTTTTTAAAAATTACCCCAGTTGTTTTAAAAGTTGCCTAAAGTTGCTCGGCTCCTCTAAAAAGTTAATCAAAAGTTGCTTGTTAAGTAATTTAAAATACAGCAATTTTTGCCTTTTCCACAACACAGGTGCCGCTGGTAAAGTGCAATAATGCAATTTCAAACTGCTGCCTTAATGGTTTCCTCAAGTGCATTGATCTGTTCTGTTATACGGTCGTTTTTAGCGGAGCTCTACGCGCGCTTGAAGCGCGCGCCTGGGCGGAGCCCCATAGCTAAGGAAATCTACCCACCCCAGAAAATTTGGTAATCACGTGACCGTACACCGCCGGTCCGTCAACACCACAGGGCACCAATGTTCAATCTCATACCTTGTAGCTAGTTTGGGAGCACAGGAAAACTGATAATGCACACATTTTGGACATCAACGTTGTGATCAATTTACAGCTGTCGAAACAAGGTATCCGCTGACTAGTATCACTTGACCGTATCGCGGGCTCAGGTGTTGACCCATCAAGGTCAGTAATTTTTTTAAGTTATCCGCTGACCGGATACTAGTTTTTAAGTGATCCCAGGCTCAAGTATATATATATTTTTAAAAATTCATATGAAATATGTTGTGTTTATGTGCCGGACAATTAAAATTTTGATTTCAAACTGACCTCGGTTGCGAAAATTCAGTCAGCTATGCAAGGAAGACAGTTGCTTTTAACCATCCGTCCGCACCACAGGACAACCAATGCTTACTTTCACACTTTCTAACAATTTTGGGAGCCCAGGAGTGACATCTGTCAAAACAAGGTATCCGCTGGCTGGCCACCTGACCGTATCGCGGGCTCAGGTGTCGACACATCGAGGTCGAGTACTTTATTGAAGTTATCGGCTGACAAGTTACTAGTTTTCAAGTGATCTCAGGCTCAAGTTTAGTTTTTAAAAAGTCATGAAATATGTTGTGTTTATGTCACTATGGCCCCGCACTATTAAGATTTTGATTTCAAACTAACCTTGGACGCGAAAATTCAGCCAGTTATTTAGAAATACAGGCGGGGAAGACCTTTTCTTGCCAAGGTCACGCGTTGGTGACGCTCTACGTCCAATTTTTATGCTCTGATTGGTCAAAATTTGACAGGTGAGTTCATGCGGAAAATTTATGCAGCATCTTGAATCTTGTTTACTTTGACGGCTGAAGCTGACAGAGTTTTGGGTCAATTTGTGATTTTTTTTTTTAACTGTCTTTTTCTACTGGATGTACAAAAATGAAATACAGCTGCTATCAAGAGTATTCTGTTATTCGTGGCTAGTTTGTTTATTGGTTTTTTGGTTGAGAGATGCGTCGCTTGTCAAAGTCGGAAATCCGATTTCGGATGGCATCGTTTTCGTTTTTCACGCTTGAAAACTCTGAAGCGATACTGGCCTTACTTGATACCTTTCAGGAGCTGCATCTCGAATGGTAAGCCTGAGTAATTATTGTATTTGATGTTTGTTTTTTATATCTAATTTAATGAAGTCGAGCGTAGTTTATGCGGCTATTTAGTTCATGCACGTTTATAAGGTTTCAGACAACCGACAATTGACAATTGTGAAATACTGCATTCTGTCAGAGGTCTGTATGATGAAAACAGTGCCTCATAGCACTGTTTCACCTCAGATGTGATGTACAAATGGTAAAAAGGTTGGTTTTCACTCACCCAGATTTGTTGGCAAGATTTTGTAAGGTAAACTTGTCGAACGCAAAGAATTCGGCCTAATTTTTTTCCATGCCTAATTAATCTACGGTGATCAAGAGCCTGCCCATTATGGCTCTTAAATGTGATCGAAGATGGCTGCTATTTTTTGGGTGTACATATGAGGCTGTAAACTTGATGTAAGATTTGGTTCACTCTTGGCGGTTCTTTGCAAAATATTTTTCTTAGCTTTTCCTTCAAAAGTCACATGAATGTGCTGTAAAGTTATCTGAATTTTGGAATACAAGTTTATTGTTTGATTTAAATTATAAATTTATTAATGGGAGCTTCGCTTTCAGCCCTGGCTAAATCTATATATTATTCGTGGCAGAGAAGTAGGTGCTGGAATTTTTTCCTCTGAACTATCTTAAATTTTGATGTTTGTCCCTATTTGCGAACCATTTGCGAACCGCTGACATCATACCACGGACACTCCAACCGAGGGGGAGGGCGTGGTGGCACAAAGTTGAGTTCGCATGTTGTTAAAAGTTAGCATTAAAGAACTTAAAGTTTCTTACAAAGATAAATGGGATGATAGGACTTTGTAATTCCCATAAAATGTCTAAAATTTAACCAAGGCTCCTCAAAAATCAAAAGTTGCTCAAAATGGCAAAAGTTGCCTTAAAGTTGCTCCAGAAAGCGACGATTGCCAAAACGTTACCGAGCAAATTGTAGCTAAGGCTAACAACAGGAGCCGAACATAAATGCAGTGATCGAGGAATAATATGGTGGAAACTTAGCTCGGGCTATTTTGTTCAGCTTACGATAGACGGCAGTTTACCAAAGAAAAAGGTCTACCTAAACCAATATACACGCCGAAGATAAAGTATCTCTTGATCTTCCAGCACGAAGGGTAAAGCAGTCTTCAAAGTTAACATTGCTAAATACATTTTGTTGACGATCCCCTTCCCCCTCCCCCCCCAAAAAGTGACACCATGAAGAAAGCATACCCTACTGTCGACTTCCAGCAACCTTTTCTGTCCTTGAGATGCAACATTTGAATAGGTTAGTGTAGCCAAAACAGCAACTTCCATATCATTTGCCTTTAGATGTGGAACTATCTTCTCGCTTAATCGTGGAGGAAAAGGTGCCTGGCGACCTTCTGAGCCCTTAGAAAGGCAGTGAAGTGTCTTCATAATAGAAGACACTATAAACTTTCTGTCCTGTTTGTAAGTAAGCAATGATTGTATTAAACTTTGGAATTAACGGGTAATTGGAAAGTGGAGTGAGCATCAGCGTAAAATATCAATAACGGGAATTTTTGTAGCGGAACTGCGTCGTCTACTCTGCCATAAAAATCTTCTAAGCGAGTGTCAAATTCGACTAAACAGATAAAGCAAAAAACACACCAAAAAAAGTCATATAGCATAGGAGTAAGTGCAAACCAAACTTCTGCTTTCTTGGGGCAGTATTACAGTAGATAGACTAATGGTAATATGAGGACGCTAACATTCAGCACTGGCCAGCTAGACCAGTAAAAAAAATAATTCTCAAATTAAAAAATGAATTCTCTTTACGAAAGGGTTAGTCGGGACGGGTAGTACTTACCTAATGGTAAGCACGCCAAGAGTAGCGTTTATGATGATGATGATGATGATGATGATGATGATGATGATGATGATGATGATGACGACGATGATGATGATGATGAGGATGATGATGCAGTTACAACTTTTGTATGCTGTATACAGTTAAAATAGCATGACGGGGCGCGTGAGCGTACCCCGTTAAACTTAGCATAAAAATATAAATTTTAAAAGTTAAAATATATATAAAAATTAGCACCATCAATGATACTCCTTTTAAAAAAAAAAAACTCCAACATATCACTTATTCGGCTGAAAAAATTCATCGACGATTACTTCTTAACTTTTAAAGTCCAAAAGATGTTAAAGGAAGAGAGTTAATAAATTTGAATGCGATATTCATTGTTCATGTTGCAACTTTATACGTCCGAGCGATGTTTAGCGTTCCCGAAAGTACAGCCTTCTGCATGTTATAAAAAACTCCCTTACTCTTACTTCAGACCAACTCCTTTAGCTTGGCTTCTAAGCACCTGTTTACATGGAGGTGGAGGACCCCAGGTAGGTGAGGTAACCCGCTTAAGTGGGGTAACCTGCCTGTCCATATGATCTCTCATTTTAATTTGATCACGTTGACATGATAGGTAGAGTGACCCGCCAAGGCGGGTAGCCCGGTCTACCAGACCGGGTAACCCTCCCAGCCGGGGTCAAATTTTGCCATCTAAACGTTCAAGGTGGGGTAACCCGCCTAGCCGGGGTCCGAATCGTGATACATGAAATTCGAGCAGAATTCACTTTGGCGGTAGTTTTGCATCATTATTAAAAGAAAAAATAGAAAGCCACAGCACTAAAGGTTGTAGCAAGGGCAGCAAGTTAGTGTAGAAGAGCATTAATCGCCAAAGCACATGATTTGCCAGCATATTTCTCGTTTAAGTGCTTAGCGACCATTCAATAATCTTGAGAAAGTGCACCCCGAGATGGCGTGGTTGTAAGATTGTATGTAAAGGAGGGTTATTTTTTTACCCCACCTAAGCGGGTTACCTCACCTCCCTGGGGTCCCCCACCTCCATGTAAACAGGCCCTAAGTCTCGGCACCATCCCCCTAGTACGTCCATTATGATAATGTATTGTTTCAATTCATATCCTTGTTGCTTCTGCTTCAATTCCCAACGGAGCGGTCCGTATTTTGTGGTTTTCTCCTCCTCTTTTTTCTCGCGATTTGTAACCCATTGGCAGCTCATCTCTAGCGTGATGGCTCGCTTTGACTCGTGGTTGATAATGCGAGCATCTACTCTGTTGGCTCTAACTTCTTGATGCTCCGCAAATAGAGGGGCACCCCAGAATGCTAGCACATTGCTCGCCTCGTCACTCGCTTGGGTTTCAGTGGCGATGACCAAGGTGGCACTGAGTCTACAAGGCCTAGGTCTTGCAGAACCTTGAACAAAAGTATCTTCAGGGCTGCGTTATGTCGGGTAACGTACTTGTTCTGTGCAAGGACAGTACAACCATACAGGACATGGGCGACACTTTCAGGGGCATTATTACGTAGCCTGCACATCGCCTCATCCGTCGTGTCCATGTGCGTTTTCTGGCAGGCATACAGCCTCGTAGAGCTCAAACATCCCCGCCACTGTATGTGTTGGGCATTGTTTCTAACTGCAACCACATTGGGTAACCCAACACTGGTAATGCAAATTGGCTCGAGGCGGTTACACGGTTGTGATCAGACAGGGGACTTGACCAGATGATAGACATCTGCAAAGAAACTCCTTAGCTGCGCACTCCAACGACATCTTCTCCTCTTTCTTGGCCGTCTCTAAGACACCCAAGAACTTGTACTGATTTCCCTCTTCGAGGTCGGAAATACAGATGTTCTCATCTACCCCGAGGCATCATGGGTATGGGTCTATACCCGCCTTTGTACATGAACGACCGCACACTTTTTGGGGTTCCACTGAAGTCTGACATCCTCCTATGACTTTTAGTTGACGCCATAACACGGTTTAGCTTACTCTCCGAAGACACAAAAATCTTTAGATCGTCGATATACAGGAGGTCTGTTACCTTTAGATAGCCCTTAGTGGCGCTGATCTTCCATGCGATGGGATTCAAACAAACCGTAAAGAGCCTGGGACAGAGAGCGTCACCCTGGGGTAGGCCTTTTGAGGAACCTTATTGGCTCAGATGTCTTGCGCCCTTGCTTTGTAGTCGCCACCACCCTTGTGTTCCAGCTCTTACTTAACTTCTCTACCGTCCTTGACAATCAAACAGGGAATCTATGCAGGATAATCATTTCCTCCAACCAACCATGGTCTACCAAGTCGTACATCTTCTTGACGTCGATCCACGCCAAACTCAGGTTACTCTTTCGCCGATGACAATCTAAGGTCACAGTTCTGTCAATCAGTAAAATGTCTATAGTTCTGCTACATCCTGCGCGTGCGCCCCTCTGGGCTCCATCCAGTAAACCGTGCGTTTCCAGGTGTTCATTCGCGGGTCCTTACAGGCACGACTTATACAAAGTATTTAAACAGGTGATCGGACTCTCGTTATCGATGGTGAATTCCTGGTTTCGGGAGTAGTGTGGTTTTGCCTTTGGAGAACCAGGCTGAATACTCTCATTATCTCTTATATACCTAAACGAGGCCATCTTAATGTGATTATCTCTACTAAAAGCTTATTTATAATAATATCAAACTCTAATTTTCTAAAAAATCTAAGTAAAAACATCAGCAAGCTTGTGTTTCTAGATTTCTAGAGAAAAAAAAACCTAAAAACTGGAGTCCTTAGCGCTCTAACTAAGTATTTATCTTAAATGTTCTGGTAATGTTTAAAGTGTTTGAGATGACCGAGTTCTGCATCCGCTCAAGTACGCTCCGTGCTCTCGCTCCAAGTAGATTCCTCACCGACTTCTCTAGGTGTTTAGAGTAACCACCCAGTATGTCAATTATTACGTTGCACTGTTCAACCCTGTAACCATTGTATCTCTGCTTCAGCTCCCACATCATGGGCCCATACTTGAGCGTTATTATTATTATTATTAGTAGTAGTAGTAGTAGTAGTAGTAGTATTATTATTATTATTATTATTATTATTATTATTATTATTATTATTATTATCATTATTATTACTATTATTATTTCTTGTTGTTATCATCATCACCATCATCATCATCATCGTCACTATCATTGTCATTATCACTATCATTATTACTATTATTATTATTTAAAAAAACAAGTTAAGGGTTTTCAGAGGCGAGTACTGTTAGTCTTTCCTTACCTAAAGGAAGTTTATGAAAGTGACGATTTACGACTTTGCGCCCCAATAGGTTTTAACGTAGCTTGATAAATACAAATCACCTAT